CGCCTTTATATCTTTCCCCTAAATTTAACACTTGAAATAATATATAATTCTGATTCTGATTCTGCTTAGCACATTCTAAAACTACCTACTACATTTTAAGATAGAAAAATAATAAATTTATAATGTAATTGAAATAATAATCCATAGTATATTAAACTTTATCATTAAATCTTAAGCATTTTTTGGTATTTTGTTAAATCATATAAAGATCCAGTTTTCTAACATTGTTTCAAGTAAAAATACAACAATACAATCTTATGTACTTTTCCAGAATCTCTTTTGTAATCCTAGTCTTTTTACCCCCCCCCCCCCCCGTCTCTTGATCTCCACCCTCTTGGTCTCCACTCTCTTCTGTAAACACAAGCTATTTCATTTAGACCTTTCTTCTTTTTAAACTTTCTCTTCCTGGGGTCTATCTTTCCCATAAATTTAATTTCCATTCTGATTCTGCTTAGTACATTCTACATGCATTTTAAAATAAGAAAATAATACGTTTATAATATAGTTGAAACAATAATCCATAGCAAATTAAACTCTATCATTAAATCTTAAACATTTTACATATTCCCTTTAATATTTTATTAAATCATATAATATTCCAATTTTCTAACTCTATTTCAAATACAATACTACAATACAATCTTGTGTGCTTTTGCAGAATCTCTTTTTTAATTGTATTTTACCCTTTGGCTCTAAAAAAGATCTGTTTTTTTACTTCTTCTTTCAAGCCTTTGTAACTTCTCTTCCCTTTTTCCCTTCCTTTCTTGTCCAATCTAGCCTTTTTACCTCCCCATCTCTTAATCTCCACCCTCTTAATCTCCCCTCTCTGTTGTATTCCTCTTTTCTGTTGCTTTCTGACATTGCATCGATTTTTCACCTTATTTTCCCCTTTTTGGTTGTTTTTTTAAGTCTTGAATTCTCCATTCTCTTTCCCCTCTTTCTCTTTTCTTCCTCAACTAAAGTTATCTGTTCATTAAAGATGGCTTCTTCTTCATCATCCCAGCCTTCTTGTTGTTGTAGTTCCTGGTAGGTAGAAATTGCCATTTCCAAAAAATGGAAAACAGATCCAGAAGAGCCCTTCCCTTCTTGTTCCTCTTCTCTTAACTTTTGAAATTCCATTTTCAATTCTTCAACAGATAATGCCATTGTGAGGTTTTTTTTAAACAACCCAAAAGTTTTTAGTCTTTCAAGAAATAGTTTCCAAAAGTCCCAAAGTCACCAAGCAACCCAAATCAACACAAACTGTTTCATTTGGCACTTTCTTACATAAAAAGTTTTTTGAAGAACTCAATGGCACTTTCTTCTTTTTATACTTTCTCTTCTTGGAGTAGAATCAATTGCAAAGTTCCAAAATGTATTTTTTAGAAGTCTTATTACAGTTTATCTCTGATCTTATAAGCTTCAAGCAGTCTTCTCCAGCAAAACCTTAATATAGGTTCTTTATCTCTCCCTTCCCACTTATAGCAAAAAAAGAATTTTTAAATTTTTTGATCCAATGTTCAGAAATCTTTAATATCCCCTTGGTTTTAATTTTCAAATTTAATTACCTTCTGTTCCCAAGATGGGTTTTTCCGATTTTCTTCTGCTATTTCCATAGGGAAGGAGAGTGAGAGAGAGAAAAAAACTTTCCCTTTTTCACTTTCTTCCGCCGCTTTTTACGGTCTTCTTAGGGAACAATGTATCTTTAAAAAAGTTGAATTTCCAGGGTATTTAGATGTTACTTATTATCCCGGTTCAGCCAAAAACTTTCACTTATACCTTATGATTCTTGACTTTTGACGAATGTCTGTTTTCTTTTATGTACACTGAGAGCATATGCACCAAGACAAATTCCTTGTGTGTCCAATCACACTTGGCCAATAAAGAATTCTATCTATTAAGATCAGGCTTGGCTAGGCACTGCCACCATGGAGAGCATGATCAGTTCCAATAATCAAGTCAAGAGTCTCGACTCCATCTTTGTACTGACTTGGTATTCCTGTAATGTGAATGGAACCCAGCCTCATATCCTACAGATTAGAGTAGTCTGGGGAATTTTTATTTTCAAAACTCTGGCATGTATTTACAATGGTTGCAGCATCCCAGGGTCACGTATTTTCCATTTACAAGCTTCCCAGCCAGCTTCCAAGAATCAAAGTGTTGGAGGAAAAATCCAGATCCAGTTCCAAGCAAGAATAAAATGGAGGCTGATTGGAAAGAAAGATTCTGTTTATTGGTGAACAGAACCAACACACATACTCAGCATGCAGTTCTGGGACAGATGAGCAAGCAGCTTTGCTTTTCACCCAAACCAAATGGTATACCATTTCAGACAAATGGTTGTCCAATCTCTTCTTAAAAACTTCCAGTGTTGGAGCATTCATAACTTCTGGAGGCAAATCGCTCCACAGATTAATTGTTTTACTCTGTCAGGAAATTTCTCCTTAGTTCTAAGTTGCTTCTCTCCTTGATTAGTTTCCACCCATTGCTTCTTGTTCTGCCATCAGGTGCTTTGGAGATTAGCTTGACTCCCTCTTCTTTGTGGCAGCCCCTGAGATATTGGAACACTGCTATCATGTCACTCCCTAGTTCTTCTTTTCATTAAACTGGACATACCCAGTTCCTGCAACCATTCTTTATATGTTTTAGCCTCCAGTCCACTAATCACTTTTGTTGCTCTTCTCTGCACTCTTTCTAGAGTCTCAACATCTTTTGTTTTACATCATTGCGACCAAAACTGGATGTAGTATTCCAAGTGTGGCCTTACCAAGAACTTAATGTCTCCAGGTTTATTCCACCCCAGGCGCTGTGTGTCCTTCATCTGGTAACCCCAGATGAATTAGGACAAAGTGCACTTATAATGGATTTTAAAATCTTGAATTTGCTTCACAATTCAAACAGGCTGGTGTTTTCTTTCCCACAATTAGGGAAAGTCAGCATAACACCCTTGTTTTTAGAATAAGTGTTGGGGCAGTTTTATGGACCACACACCATTCAAACTCTATAGCAGTTCCTAGTTTTTTCCAGCTATAAACAATATTTGAAAATTCACTGACAGACTTGCCGAAAGATTTATGTGTGCGGGCATCAACAGTTTTCAAGGGCTTGTTCATACCTGTCACATTTCAAATGCTTTGCCTGAAATTGCATGCTTGCAACAGAAGAGTAATATTGCTAAATAAATATACTGTATTAGAATTTGTTAAAACAGAATATATATTACACTAATTATGTGCTCTTGAAATATGCCATTGGCTTGGACCACTGACATGCTATGCATACCTGATACAGAAATACTATTCCATACCTGAACAAACAGCTCTTCTCTGGTTTGAATAATATAAATCATATTTGTCACAAGTTTTAACTGTTAGTCTCTAGTTGATGGAAGATTTGGCCTGTATTGGAGAGAAAGATCTGATGTGAATACCGGCTCAGTATGGCTTTGTGGATATGCTTTGTGGATATGCTGGGTATGCTGGGTTGAATTTATTGGAAATGTGCTAATATTATCTCTGAATGTTAGTTGGAACGGCAGTGGTAACATGGGGTTACAGATCTGAAATAAAATCTGTGCTCATTCTAGCTATTCTGACCAAAGCTTCGGATACCGTAATTATGCACTTGCTTATTTTAAAAACAAGTTTTGTTTTATTGCAACACTGGGAATTATTTTCATTCCTAGCCAGTAATGAATTTTCAACAGTCCTTCGAAATAAGCTCCCACCTGTGAAGTGCTGCCAATAACAGAGGTGTCAAATGAACTAGAACAAAACCAACCAAAGTACAAAGAGCTTCAAGAATGAATCTGAACTGAACAAACGACTTTGCTTCCTGCAAAGGTTTTGTCATCTTTGCCTGTCTTTTATACCTTATGGGAGGGGCAATCACGTCCCAGCCTTACTCCCGAGTCACCACTTTTGTTTCAGCTGCTCTCGCCTTCTAGCAGCTCTGCGAACATGTGCACTGAGAACAGGCTCCCCTGGTTCCTCTACCTTGCTGCTGCCAGATTCCAGAGGCTCCAGAAGTAGCATCCCACTCCCAGATAGTCCTGGCCACATCTCTGCATCAGACGGAGACCCTCGTCCAAGTCTTCTCCAGACTCCCTGATTGGTCCCTGTTCTTCCTCACTGTCCGATTCCGCTGCCGTCTACACAGGCTGACGGCGAACCACAACACTAGCAACCATTGGTTTTTACTAAAAAAAATTACAGTATTGTCTGTTCCTTATATGTTTTTGGAGATTCTCAGTCATCCAGGCCATGGTTGTCCCAAAGATACTTTTTCAAAAGGCAACTGGACTTTCTGGTTTTTCTTTGAAGATGTTTTGCTTCTCTTCTTCAGCTTTTTGGATGAGACGCAAAACTTCTGTTCCTTATACATAACACCAGATTGTTCCTTACCCACTTTATTGGATGGAGAGGCCTGTAAGTTTAAAATGAAAGTTATGTCAGTGCAAAATGCTCTAGGCCGTTGGGGAAGGTTCATTCAAGATACTTTTGATATGCTGACTTCATAAGACCAAGAAAGGGTAAGGATTGCAGTTAACAGTAGATGCTGTTGCTTTATGAACTTAAAGATCTAGAGGCAGTCCTTGACTCACAATCACGAGTCAGCCCCACATTTGTGTGGTTAACCAAGACACTTGTTAAGTGGGGTTTGCCCCATTTCACGACCTTTCTTGCCGGAGTTGTTAAGTGAATTACGGCAGTTGTTAGTAGTATGGTTCTTAAGTGAATCTGACTTCCCATTGACTTTGCTTGTCAGAAGGTCGCAAAAGTTTATCATGCGACCACAGGGATGCTGCAACAGTTGTGTGAAAAAAGGTCAAAAGTCACTTTTTTCATTGCCATTGTAACTTTGCACGGTCACTAAATGGATGGTTGCAAGTCAAGGACTACATGCACCTTCAACTAGCAGAAAAAAAATCAGTGCATTGGAGCTCATAAAATAGATGGGGATCACTCTTGCGATGTCCATTGCTTTGTCTTTTATGCGTTTTGAAACATTTTATTTTGCAGAAAAAGAGACCTTCTTGGATCCTTTTGTGTTAAGGGATCTCCTGCCAGCATCTTTGGGAAGTTACTATCGGTATGCAGGGTCGCTGACTACACCTCCGTGTAGTGAAATTGTGGAATGGATTGTTTTCCGAATGCCTGTCCCCATCTCTTATCGGCAGGTAGGTTGTTATCAGAAACACTTTGCCCGATTCATTCTTTTCTTAGTTTTGGTTTTTTTTTCTTTTTACCTTAACCCATTTTTTCCCACAAACTTTAAGCCCCCCTCCCCACTCCATCCAACATGGCTACCAGGATTTTAGGAATTGAAGTCCCACACATCTGGAGTGTACTGGATTGTAAAGGTCTAATGTATTCAGCCAGTTCAGACCGGTTCTGGTGTACCCATAGTGGAAATAGTTTGGAGTAGTTTGGAGAACTAGCAAATACCACCTCTGGTTAGCCCCACCCACCCACCTCCGTGCTATCCTGTCCTATATTCCCTTGTTGTTTAGCTCAGCTGATTCGCGTGGCAGAGTGGATTGCTGCGCCTCAGCTGAGCTAAAAAATAGCTTGCCTCACCAACCCTGACAGAGAGCGTTTTTTTATTGCTGTATGTGCTGTCATAGAACCGATAGGAAAAGTTTGGAATCCCACTACTGGTCTAAGTGGTTTGAAGCATTAGGCTAGGAAATAAAAGACCATGAGTTCTAGTCCCACCTTAGCCATGAAAGCCATTCGGGTGACCTTGGGCCAGTCATTCTCCACCCAACTCACTTCACAGGGCTGTTGTTGGATGAAAAATAGGACAAGGAAGGTGTCTTGGATATGTTCACCACCTTGAGTTATTTCTAGAAAAATAATAAAGGCGAGATACAGATAGATAAAATAAAGAAAATATGCTATAACCAGATTTCATCTCTTTTTCTTGGGAGAGTGGAAAAGACCATCCCACAAAAACAAAATATATTCTTAATAGAAAAGGAAGCAATCTGATTTTGTTTTATTGTTCTCTGAAGCTCAACATCAGCCACTCCAAACAAGAAGATAATAGAACGTGACATCTTATTTCCTTTTAAATGATCTTAGCTATTACTATTCTGTTCAGATATATTTAAACCATGGTATAAATATTTACACAGAATTCTTCATTCTTTTGCTCGAAAATTGTGCTAAGTCATTTTAGGCACATACAGACACAGATTTGATAGACTTGAAATAATTGCGCATAGAAAGTAATTCTTTTTTGCTAATATAGCACCTTTACCTATTTTTAGAATACCATGAAATTTGCATTGGCGCTGATGGCTCTGAAAAGGTTATACAGATCCTTACAAGGGTGTCATAGGAGGTCTTACTAGAGAACGCATAAAATACAAAGTACCAGAGAACAACAGACAATTTCAATGAGAGAAGTTCCACTGCAGAGAATATTTAACTGTTTAACAAATACATAGGCAATGGCCTTTAAATTCTTTGTTCAAAAATTTTCTTTGTTGTCACTTGTCCTGCCTCTTTTAATTGCTGGTGTAAATACATTTCATTGCAACAAAGGCCTCTCGGAAGACATTAACTGATTATGGAAAAGCCACAAATTTACATGGATGAATGAATATAAATATTTAATAACCCACATGATAGAGGCAGTTGAAAGCATCAAGCTGTCCTCTAGTTCTCAATCAAGAGGGCACACCAAATACATAGGTCTTCCTTGACTTGTCCTTTCCTGTTTTCTCTATCCAGTGATATTAAACAATGGATTAAATCAAATCCACATATTTCACTGTTTGTTCCTGGAGTTCACAATTACAGCAATAGCACTTAGACTTATATACCGCCCCATGGTGTTTTTCAGCATTCTCCAAGCAGTTTGCAGAGTCAGCCTATTGCCCTCAACAATCTGGGTCTTCATTTTACCCACCTCGGAAGGATGGAAGCTAAATCAATTTTGAGCCAGTCAGAATCAAATTCTCGGCAGTGGGCAGAGTTAGCCTGCAATACTACATTCTAACTATTGCGACGCAAGCAGGATTATGTTTCAAATATTATGATATACGAAATGTTCTTTGGATTATTCTTAGAGGTAAAGAACTGTGGGGTACCTTTATGTTATTCTAATAGGTCAAATAAGTATTATTATTACAATCTACTGCAGGTTGAAGGTTTTAGTTGAAGGATATGGCCTATAATGTATCATACTGGTTCAGTGTGGGTCAGTAAAATGGGTATTTTTCAATTTTCCAGTCTAGGGCAGAGAGAGATTTGGTCCCAAGTCACCCTGCTGACCCCCGTGCATAAGAGAAAATGAGAATCTGGGGCTCTGCTCATAATCCAGCACCTTAACCACTGGATCACGTTGGCTTTTTAATACACCCCAATGCTTGACATTATAAGTTTCACCAACACAGTGAACAGTTCACAAATCACATGTGGCCTAGTGGAACTCTCTACCAACACTTGCTAATCAATTCAAGTAAACTTGAGAAAGACAGAGATGGTAGAACATTGATAGCAAATGATTAAACTTGTTAAATTCTCTGTGTGTGCATGCAATAGTGTGCTCAAAATTAAATTTAATGTAAATTAATAAAATACTTCTAATATGGATAGAGTTATGTCCTTAATAACTGTTTCTTTGTGCAGCTTTAAAAGTTAAAATTTTGGTCTATGTGTTGACTTTTGTAGGCTACCTGTGCCTAAGATTGTGCAGCTTTGCTATATAAAAATACATCTACACTGTCTTTTTGCCTTATTTTGATTGAACAAAAGGTTCTCTGCTCCTTGACTATCATGCTTGAAGGTCTCTTTAAACGATATTTTGAATCCAATTCCTTAGTAATATGAATCAAATTCTTATAAGGATGGGGTTGGATTATCTTCTCTAGACTGTGTTATAGCTTGAATATATCTACATTACCAAGATATTTAAGTTAAGGTAAGGAGATTTTTTCTGCTTGGGCTAAAATCATTTGGGATTCCTGCTTATCCAAAGGAGAAATATTGTTTAAGAAAGCAAGAAAAAAAACTGGAAGAAAGGGAGACACGGTTCATCCCTTGTGAAATAGGATGGCGTGCTTCAGTTGTCCTCTTTCTGTTAGGTTCCTTCTCATTTTAGAAATTGTATTTTTACAAAACATTTCTATTTCCGTGACTGCAGCCAAAATGTCAACATTTTTATAGAAAGTATTTTACAAAGTGGAGTATGCCAATCTGAACACGCCTTCGATGTGCCAATTTTTCTAAAATACAGCCTACTTACTAGTTTTTGGACTGCGGCCCTCATTCCACAAAATGTTAATACTCCTGGCTGAAAATAAGAGGAAACTTGATAGACAAAAGTTCTATTTTTACTCCAGCTGTAGCTTGGAGACAAAACTTAAGCAAAATCTTTCCCAGCCCTTCTTTTCTTGCACATTTTTGTCATTCAGAGCGAGTTTGTCGACTGTGGCAACTTTAAAATATGTGGATGTCAACTCCAGGCTGGCTGGAGAAATCTGGGTATTGAGGTCCACGCATCTTAAAATTGCAGAGATCGGGAAACGCTGATTTAGAGCAACAGTAAGCTACCTTGTTGTTTTTTTACAGTATGGATAAGCCTGCAACACCATGGGTATGGTGGAATCTATTGTAAAAAATATGGAGTGTCCATACCCTGAGCTGTGATTGATGTGACTCTGGAATGACTGTGTATCCCTCTTTGGCAGAGTAATAGTAATAGTATATATCTTTAAGCCACCATACTGAGGAGAAGCTAAAAAATAATCTTTTCCTTGACTCTCTTTGACATTAACTTTCTAGAGTGTGTTCTCTGCCGCCTGACAGAATCGCAATGAGGCTAGATAAGGCTGCTGGCAGGGATTTCAGTGGGCAGACGTTTTCCTGTTTGATTTATCAGTCTTGGCATCAGGACTTCCTGCCATTTTGTGTTATTATCAGCTGCCCACATTTCACCACATTGTTTTTCTAATTAATGTCTTTTCCCCCCTCCTCCTCCTCCTTTCCCCTTATCCTGATTGTGGCTTTCAGCTGGAAGCCTTCTATTCCATCTTTACCACGGAACAGCAAGATCATGTCAAATCTGTGGAATACCTACGGAATAACTTCCGGCCTCAGCAGAGCCTGAACAACAGGATTGTTTCCAAGTCGGCTGTGAAGGATGCTTGGAACCAACTTTCAACCAGCATGTTCGAAAATCCACTGGGCACTGAAGCATCCAAAGGTAGAGTGGCTTTGACCATTGAAGATCAGGGAAAGCATCGTCCTTTTAGAAAAGGGATGGGGAACAACGGCCCTTTTATGACAGGCTGGCTCAGGAATTCTGGGAGTTGAAGTCCACAAGTCATAAAGGGGGCATCATTCTCCACCTCTGCTTTAGGATTTGTCTGGTTGTTTGTGTACATAGAGTGCTTCAGGGTTAGGGTTGGGGTTGGGGTTAGGGTTGATCGATATACTTCGTTTTCAACCCATTTGACATCACTCAATCTTGGTACTACAGGTAGCTATCATTTGCAGTAACAACAGAAAAGTAACTTTGCAACCAGTCCTCACATCTCCAAGCTTTGCAAGTCTGTAAAACAAAAGAAAGCTGAAGTAAGACCATAAACCCAGGCAAGATTTTGCTCGGTGACTGATTTGTTTAATGACCAAGTTGCCAGTCCCAATTGGCACTAAATAAGGACTGATATATACAGATGAGCTAGTAATAAATCACACAGGGGGATATTCTCTCTCTCTCTCTCTCTCTCTCTCTCTCTCTCACACACACACACACACACACACACACGTCATGTTTTCCCCAATGAACCACCCCCTTCCCATGTTCGTGTACAGTTTTTTTTATGTTGTATAAATATGATGGTTTGATGGTTCAGATGGAAAAAAATACAACAAGCAAAAATAAAAGCAAAGTTGCTGTTCTTGAGACAGTTTCTGTTTTATTGCTACCAATGATTTTGTTGTCATTGCAGACTTTTTTTGCCAGAGGGTATGGAGGCCAGGCACATTTGTAAAAAATATGAAGAAGCAGAATTTTTAGGCCAAGGTGCTTTTCTCTTCATGTCACCTTTTAACTTTGCTGTGTCTCAGTGATGCTGTTGCATTAATCTGCCTGCTCTCTCTAAGAGGCCTTTTGTCTGCAACAAAACTGCTAGAGAGACATGAATCCCCCATATAATAAATTCATGAATTCTAGATATGGAATGAGCTGCTTAGCTGCTTTTCAGATAACAGATAATCAGAGTTGGAAGGGACCTTGTAGGTCATCTAGTCCAATCCCCCGCCCAAGCGGGAGACCCTACACCATTTCTGACAAATGGCAGTCCAATCTCTTCTTGAAAGTCTCAAGTGATGGTGCTCCCACAACTTCCAAGGGCAACTTCTGTTCCATTGGTTGATTGTTCTCACTGTCAGAAAGTTTCTCCTTATTTCCAGGTTAAATCTCTCCTTGTTTAGTTTCCACCCATTATTCCTTGACTGGCCTTCGGGTGCTTTAGAAAATAGCTTGACCCCCTCCTCTCTGTGGCAGCCCCTCAAATATTGGAAGACTGCTATCATGTCTCCCTTTGTCCTTCTCTTCACTAGACTAGCCAAGCCCAGTTGCTGTAGTCGTTCTTCATATGTTTTAGTCTCCAGTCCCCTAATCATCCTGGTTGTTCTTCTCTGCACTTTTTCTAGCGTCTCAACATCTTTTTTATAATGTGGTGACCAAAACTGGATACAGTACTCTAGGATTGGACTTACTAAGATTTATAGAGCGATATTAGTACCTCATTTGATCTCGATTGTATCCCTCTGTTAATGCAACTTAGGATTGCATTAGCTTTTTTGGCTGCTGCTGCACATTGCTGGATCAGTGTTTTGCAGCTAAGATGCCCCCCGAAAGTAACTATTAAAAACCTGGAAAGACTCCTATCTGTGCTGCTGAGGTGGATTGGCTCAGTACAGCTTTAAAGCAGTGGCGGGATTTATTTATTTTTTTACTATCAGTTCTGTGGGCATGGCAATGGGCACGGCGTGGCTTGATGGGCGTGGCAGGGGAAGGATCCTGTAAAATCCCCATTCCCTCCCCACCCCACTAACCTGCTTTCCAGCTCCGTTTACTGGGACTCAGGAGGCAGAGAATAGATGGGGGTGGGGCCAGTCAGAGGTGGTATTTGCCAGTTCTCCAAAATACTCAAAATTTCCACTACCGGTTTTCCAGAACTGGTCAGAACCTGCTGAATACCACCTCTGCTTTAAAGGCATTATTGTTAGACCTGTGAGGTAGTCCAGGCAAGAAACACAACCGGGAGTGGCAGCTCTGTCTTTAGTGTAAGGTTCCTGTAACAGACTCTTTCAAAACTTGAAAGCACAGGTAGTCTTTGACTTACAACCACAATAGAGCCCTAAATTTCTGTTGCTAAGCAAGACAATTAAGTCAGTGTTGCCCTATTTTATGACCTTTCTTGCCACTGTTGTTACATGAGTCACTGTAGTTGTTTAGTTAGTAATAAGGTTAAGTGAATCTTGCTCACCATTGACTTTGCTTGTCAGAAGGTCGCCAAAGGTGATCAAATGATGCAGTCCCCTAATCATGAAAGATGATTAGGGGACTGGAGGCTAAAACATATGAAAGAACGGTTGCTGGAACTGGGTATGTCTAGAAAAGAAGGGAGACATGATAGCAGTCTTCCAATATCTAAGGGGCTTCCACAAAGAAGAGGGAGCCAAGCTATTCTCCAAAGCACCAGAGGGCAGGACAAGAAGCAATAGGTGGAGATTAATCAAGGAGGGTACCAACCTAGAAGTAAGGAGAAATTTCCTGACAGAACAATTAATTGGTGGAACAATTTGCCTCCAGAAGTTGTGAATGCTCCAACACTAGAACTTTTTAAGAAGAGATTGGATAACCATTTGTCTGAAGTGGTGAAGAGTTTCCTGCCTTAGAAGACCTCTAAGGTCCCTTCCAACTCTGTTATTCTATTAGCTCTATGACCCTGGGACGCTGCAACCATCATAAATACATGCCAGTTGACAAATGTCTGAATTTAGATCACGTGACCATGGGAAGCTGCAACTGTCATAAATGTGAGTACTGGTCATAAGTCAGGGTCATTGTGACTTCAAACAGTCACTAAATAAATGTTGTAAGTTATGGACTACCTGCATGTCCTCTGCACCAGAGACACATTCTTTGTGTGTCTAATCACACTTGGCCAAATAAAGTATTCTACTCTACTCTACTCTACTCTACTCTACTCTACTCTACTCTACTCTACTCTACTCTACTCT